AAAAAAAGTCAGCTTTCCCAGCCCTGCCTTCTACCAGCCAGAAGTCACCCTCTGATCCTTTGGCGAACACTGGCGCAGTGGTGACTGGCTGGGTCTGAGAATTAACCTGAAACATCTGAGCTTGTTTCGACTCCTTGGGTGATTTGCTCTAAACCCCAGAGCTGCCTGGGCTGCCGTAGGACTCAGGAGCCCTGGCGTGGTCGTGCGTATCCTGATGAGGGTGAAACGTGGCCGATTAGGAGCTGACCCTAGAACCCAGACTGAATCCAGACACTTCGGAAAGTGTTCATGTGTTTGCTTTAGTTTTTGGTTGTTTGCCTCTTGAAAACAAGAGACCTACAGTAAGGGTCCTTGATGACTGTGAGTATTTCGGATGGGAATAGATTGGGCAGGTTGGCACCGGGTCCCTTTTATCTCAGCCCTTCTCCCTGAACCGGGCTGGCGGGTCTCGGAACAGCTGGCTTCCTGACCGGGGTGGGGAGCAGGGCCCACGGGATGGGTGCTGTTAACCTTTGAGATGTCTGATGTCTGATGTCGGCAAGGCAGGATGAGGCAACCCTTGGTGGCGCCGGAGTCCTGAGGAGAAAGGACCCTGGACCGGCTGTGGGCGAGGCCTGGTGGTATTTGCATTCCAGGGCTGCTGGGTTGAACTTCTGGGTCTACTTCTGTGCCCTTCGCCTGCCCTCATCAGCCTGTGCGCGGCCACCATTTCTGCCCTGGCCCCCATCTCCCCGGGCTGCTCCATCCTTAGCCTCTGCTTGGCAGGACCGCTGGGGAGGGGGCTCACAGGCCCATCCCACTGTTGGATTTTGGCAGAGAAATGTCCCTTTATAATCCAGGTGCCTTGCAGAGGTGAGGTATCCTTGCCACCTTCTAACCCAGCCCCCTTGTGCCCTGGCAGTTGTGCCTGAATGAAGTGGGCACAGCCGTTGTGGCTCTGTCCTGTATTAGCTTTGCTTCCCAAGTATCTCCCTGTCCTGAAAGGCCAGGGTCTTGGGGACCCCCTCCCCAGGAGCCCCACCTCTGTGTGTGGGCGGGCGCATAGCAGGCTCCGATGGCCTTACTCTCATGCATGCCCATGTGCTCGGAACCCTGGGCTGGCGGGGATGGTGCCTGCCTCCCTGGGCTCGTGGTGAGCCTCACAAGCTGGAGTCCAGAAATGGTACCGCGGAGGCACTGGACTTGGTCTTTCCTTCCTGCCTTTATTTTCCCTTCATCTCCTTACACCTTCAAATAAATTTAAAAGGGGGGAAATTCTTCCCTTACCTAGAACCTGGCCTTGAGATCTGGTCACGCCATGCCGTTGAGACCCCGGGCGAGCGCTTCATTCATGAGCCTCTGGTCTGTTCATTCATGACCAGGGTAATTAAATAACTCTTTGTGCGAGGCTGCGGGCTCCTTGTTAAGTGGTCTTCCCCGCGCAAGTGCAAACACGAGCGCAGCCCTCCCCTTCTCAACACCCACCTCCCCCTTCCTTTTAAAGGGTCGACTTTATGCTTTAAGGGAATGGGGGGGCCAACCTTATAGGAATTTTAGGCCGATTCAGCATTTTTCTGGGGTTGCTCCAAAAGTTCCCTAAACTATAATAAAAAGGAAAGAAATTGTGAGCAGGCATCTGATTAGTTAGCTTTTTACAACACAGCCTTTCTTTTTGATGCTGAAAACTGAGCAAATGCAGTGTTAAAACGTCCTGAGCAGCTTTCTGAGGGGGGAAAGGAGTTGTTGGAAATCCGGAAAAGGTTGTAAAGCTGAGGGAAATTCACAAGGGGCCAGGAGCTTTGCCTTTGGAGTTGAAGTATCAGCAACCATGATAAGCCAGGGTGGGCCTGGGAGCCTCCTCCTCAGTGGTAACCAGCCAACCAGGGAGACTCTTCTGTGACATCTTCCCAGGTCTCCCAACGCCTGGGGAACCTCAGGAGCTAAGCACAGACCTTTGTGGGGAGACACTTGTGGGCTGTGGGCCCAGTTCAGGGAACTAGGGTTCTCTGAAGATGATGCTGATTGCTTCCCAGAAATGAGCCCAAGTGACGGGGAATTTGGGGCAAAGGAGGAGAGTCTCTGGGTTGGCAACGTGGGAAGCTGTGCGGGACCCTCCGAGGTGTGAGGCCTTAAAGGGGCTTGGCTGCTGGAGGGGTGGTTTTACTGGAGAGGCAGTCCAGGGGCAGCGAGAAGCAGGCTGTGGGGTGACAGGGGGGTCCTGCTGCGCCAGATTAGGGCACCTAGTGAGCTTTCAGGGGCCTTGTTCACACACAGGGACACCCACACGCTGCCGTTTATCTGGGCTGGGCCATTAACCTCAACAGAAAAAGGCTTTTTCCAGGGATGTCTGGCAGCAAATTGCTGGGTGGACTGGCGGGCTGCACAGATGAAAGAGAAACCCGCCAGAACATCCCCCCTCTCCCCCCTCTCCCCCCTCTCCTCTCAGGGCGCTGGGCTGGAGTCCAGCTGACCTCAGGCCCCAGCCCCCACCCACCTTCTGCCCCCAGAGATGGGGCAGACACAGCCCCTACCTCTTGCCCATGGGCTTGGCGTGAGGGCAACTGCCTCCATCCCAGTGTGCGCCCCCCACCCCCTGCTAGCTGGTGCCAGGTTTCACAGGGCCAGGCTCCATGAAGCAAAGTACTGTGAGATCTCCTGAGGGTCGCCTGCACCCTCTCCCCGCAGCTCCCCAGCCTTCCCTTCCAGGCCAGGCCTGTTGTCTGAGTTGGGACAGTAGGAGAGCTTCCTACATTTCCAAACACTCCCCTTCGGGCGGGGCTTCCTCCTCCAGCACACTTGCACCCAGAGTGCGCTTATTTATGGGCTTGTTGCGGGGTCTCGGGTGCAGCCTCAGAGCTGAGCTCCTCGGCAGAAAGTTCAAGGATTGCCAGCGCTCACGAGTTTATTAGCAGTTGATGGATCCTTTGCAGAAACAAGTTAATGCCTGATGAGTCACCTTCTGCTTGGAGCCCTGTCCCTCTCTTATTTTTCCATATGTTCCTGTGTGTGCGCACGCAAACACACACTCACATGTGTGCTCACACTCACGGACACACAGCCTCTCTCTCACACTTGTGCTTTACAGATGCCTGTGGGGTGGGGGTGACAGGCCATTTTCTGGGGTTGACTTTCGGGGGAGTGGGGATCGAGGGAAAGGAATGAGCCCCCAGCCCCCCATTTCGTGTCGCTGTCTGGGCAGGCATTTGAGAAGGCCATCTGGGTGCCTGTAGGAGCCAGCCACTCAGGGTGTGTGTTTGTGGCTGCCTCAGTGGGTCACAGTGCACATTTCTGTGCTTATTTATGGGGCACCTCCATGCATAAAAAAACGGCTGCTGCTTAAAAAAAACAACAAGTTCATGGAGCTGACTGGTTCCCAGGTCCTGACATGCCTGTGAACACTGGAAGGGAGTTGTGTGCCGAGCCGCACCGGGTTACCCAGCCTGCCGGGGCAGTAGACACGGGCCCCCCGGACCCCCTCCGGCCCGGTCCCCGTGCTGGATAAGCCACCATCCATTCTCCAGGCCCAGTTGCTCCAAAACCAAAAAGGCCAAACACACCAAAAGATGCCTCACAGCCAGCCCCACCTTCCTTTCCCAAGTCCCCCTGAAAGGGAAAAGGGGGGCAGGAGGAGGCCTCTGCCTCCCCCTCCCCCTCTCCCCATTTTTGTTAACAAATACAAGACTTCCGGTCTCCGCCCTGCCGCCACAAACCACAGCGTTCGGCCGGCGGGGAGATTTATGGCTCCCAGTCTGAGGCCTGCCCGCCGGCTCCAGCTTCAGGAGGAGTCGGATGCCAGCCGCCCAGACCCCCCTTCCTTCCACACAGCCCCCCTCGGAGACCCGCGTGCCTGTTCGGGAAGTCACCACCAGCCTCCCAGTCCCCCAGGCTGCTGCTGGAAGAACCATTTCTGGGACCAGTGTGGGGGCTTCAGGGGAGGGAGAAAGGAGGGCAGGGCAGGAGTCTAGATGCTCTGGGAAGGGAGGGGGAAGGGGCATGAGCAGAGGGCACTCGAAGCACCGCCGTACCCGTCTGAGAGACGTGCTCTTCTGTCTGGGCTGGAGGAAGCTTGTATGGCAGTCTGGGCTGCCATCCTGATCTGAGAACTTGGTACAATGCAGTCTGGGCTAACGTGGGCCCGTGTGCAGTCTGGACTAACGTGGGCCCGTGTGCAGTCTGGGCTGCCATCCTGATCTGAGAGCAGTGCAGTCTGGGCTAACGTGGGCCTGTGTGCAGTCTGGGCTGCCATCCTGATCTGAGAACGTGGTACAATGCAGTCTGGGCTAAGGTGGGCCCATGTGCAGTCTCGGCTAACGTGGGCCCGTGTGCGTGTGGTGGGATTTGACATTTTGATAGAGATTCACCCGTTGTGTACAGAGCTGCTGCTGATAGACCCTGAGGGTGGTTTTTCTATTTAGGAAAATTTTTTTTTGCTCCAAATCACCTCCATTTACATTTTTACCAGACAGCACTTGCTTACGACCAAGGCACTGATCTGAGAACTTGGTACGGTGTCAGAGACCATGTAGCAAGTGGTCCTAGAGTCTGGAGACCTGAGTCCTACCTTGGTCTGGCGCCGTCACCCTCCAGGGCTGTTTTCTCGTTAGGATGACTAGGGCCCAAGGTGCCATCCAGGTTAAAGAACTGTAATTCTAGGCCATCTGTAAGGCCTTTTCTAGCTTTAAAATCAGGACCAGCCATGTTACCAGGGGTCCCCTGGCTCCTGAGCTCCGCAGGATGGGGCTTTCTTTGGCCAGGTGGGCACATGCACTGATGTCTGGAGCCCTAACGGGATGGGGAGGCGGTGGGAAGAAGCACCCCGGTGAGTCCCGTGCTTATTAAAGGCAGAGCTGTTCTCCCAGAGGATCAGGGTTTCCAGGCCCCAGTAGGAGACACTCAGTACCACCATCGCCTCCTCCCGTCTTGTACGAGAGCCCAGCTGGTTGGGGGTGTGTGTCTTGATTCTGCAGGAGGGGAAGCCCGTGTCCCTCACCACCAACCATGTCTGCCATTTCATTCTGCAGATTCCCAACTTCTTCTGGAGCCTGGGGATCGGTCACACTGGTGCGTGGTGGCATACTGGGAGGAGAAGACACGAGTCGGGAGGCTCTACTGTGTCCAGGAGCCCTCCCTGGACATCTTCTATGATCTACCTCAGGGGAATGGCTTTTGCCTCGGACAGCTCAATTCGGACAACAAGAGTCAGCTGGTGCAGAAAGTGCGGAGCAAGATCGGCTGTGGCATCCAGCTGACGCGGGAAGTGGATGGCGTGTGGGTGTACAACCGCAGCAGTTACCCCATCTTCATCAAGTCAGCCACACTGGACAACCCGGACTCCAGGACGCTGCTGGTGCACAAAGTGTTCCCCGGTTTCTCCATCAAGGCTTTTGACTACGAGAAAGCGTACAGCCTGCAGCGGCCCAACGATCACGAGTTCATGCAGCAGCCGTGGACGGGCTTCACCGTGCAGATCAGCTTCGTGAAGGGCTGGGGCCAGTGCTACACCCGCCAGTTCATCAGCAGCTGCCCGTGCTGGCTGGAGGTCATCTTCAACAGCCGGTAGCCCGGGAGGGGCCAGAGCGAGAGCCGAGCGGGCCCCGTCCAAACTACTTTGCTGCTAATATTTTCCTCCTGAGTGCTTGCTTTTCATGCAGAATTCTTTGGTCATTGTCCCCCTCCTCCTTGTCATTCTTGTTTATGTTCTGTTTTGTTTTGTTCTTTGAGAAATAGCTTATGAAAAGAATTGTTGGGGTCGTTTTCTGGGGGGGGGGTGGTGTTGTAGTGTTGGCAGTACACCCCCATATGAAAAGGGGAAGCAAGAATTGTCCCACCAAACACAGTGTGTGAATGGGGAGCAGGCCCTAACTTGGGGGTCATTGTTCCACTTGTCAGGGTGGATGTGTGAGCGACCGTGTGCCTGTGTGTCTGTGAGTGAGTGTGTGTCCGTGAATGGCTAATGGGGGAGATGGGAGCTCTCTGTGCTTCTTAATGATGTCTCCAGCTGCGAGGTTTGCGCTCCCAGCTGTGTCTCTCTTGCCCTTTGGACGTGCTCAGTGGGGCAGAGGCAGCGCCTGGGCAAGCCTGTGACCAGTGTCCCAGCAGCTGCCAGAAGCAAGGCTCTGTCCCCAGCCTGGGGGTGCCCCGCCCCGCCCTCCCCTTCTAGGACCCAGGCCTGTCACAAGGCTTCTTAGAAACAACCCTGCACGAGGCTGGACTCCTTCCAGCCTCCCCGCTGCATCGTCCTGTCCTGTCTTTTTTGGCCATCTGCTCCTGGTTGTCTCTGGGGTGGGCTTCCTGAGGGCTGCCGGGGCGGCCCGTCATAGTATCGCCCACCCAGTGCCCGCTCAGGCCCCTCAGCCTCTCCCTGCCCCGGTCCCATCAGGTTTGACCCGGACTCGGAAACCAGCTCAGCACTTTCCTCCCCTCTGCAGCCTGTGTGTTGAGCTTTGCTGTTAGACCAGCGAGGGGAGCAGCCCCCTTCCCACCAAGAAGGATTCAGTCCATCAGAACCCGAGGCACCGTCCTGGGCGCTGACACCTAACTGCTCTTTCGTTTCTTCTACACTCGTACACTCGTATGACGTGTCGACACTGCTCTTCGCTCCGTGAGCACGTTTAGACTTTAACATAAGCTATTTTTCTAACTACAAAGGTTTAAATGAACAAGAGAAGCATTCTCATTGGAAATTTAGCATTGTAGTGCTTTTGAGAGAAAGGACTCCTGGAAAAAAAAAACAACCCTGAGATTTATTAAAGAAAAAAATGTATTTTATGTTATATATAAATATATTATTACTTGTAAATATAAAGACGTTTTATAAGCATCATTATTTATGTATTGTGCAATGTGTATAAACAAGAAAAATAAAGAAAAGATGCACTTTGCTTTAATATAAATGCAAATAACAAATGCCAAATTAAAAAAGATAAACACGAGATTGGTGTTTTTTTCTATGGGTGTTATCACCTGGCTGAATGTTTTTCTAAAGGAGTTTATGTTCCATTAAACAATTTTTAAAATGTATACTTGATTCCATGTTGTCTTCCAGCTCCTTTTTCTTCCGGTGGGATAGGTGTGGGGAGGGGTGTCTCCTGGCCCAGTGCTTTGTTGGGGAGGGGGACGGGAGGACCACGGAGGGGTGTGCAGAACAGCCTGCCTTCCCAGGGCTAGTCCCCTGTATGCCAGGAAGACCCAGAGCTACACAGACCCCTCTTGGTAGACGGTGGCCCTCAGGTGTAGCTGGCTGGGTGTCCTGAGTTTGTAATGGGGTCAACCCCAGGAGACCTTGAGTTACAAAAGTGGGTGATTTTTTTTCAAAGCTTGAAAGAGTTGAGAAAAAGGGATTTCATTTTGGGTAATTGGGTAGGAGGTTGCATTGGGAGACAGTGCGGGGGTGGGGGGCGGTATCCCAAGAGCCCAGGTCCATCTGTTCCTATTTGCTAACCCTCACTTGGCATTCAGTCCTCTCCTGGAGGAAGGGCACTGCCACCTGGGTTCTGGGAAAGGTTCCCCGAGGGAGGGAGCTCTGGGAGGGTGAGTAGGAGGAGGTTGAGTGTTGGTGATGGGCGGGTGGATCAGGCCCTCCCAAGGTCTGGACGGGCACTCCAGGAAGTGGAGAACATGGGAGGGGTCCTCTGCAATCTTCCCAGCCACCGTGACAATTGCTGGTCAAGTGTCTTCGGTACCCGCCCTGGGACGGCCATGCTTGATCTGAGCCATGTTTTAGGGTCAGACTCTTGCACATGAGATGGATCCAGTGGGGCACCAGCCACCAGCTGTGTAGGTGTCCCTGTCGGCTCCTGAACCTTGGATCCAGGAGAGGGCATCTCTGAAGTGGGGGTTAAGATTATGGGTATCACAAACTGGTACAATTTCAAAAAATCTTTTTGGAGGGCCAAAGTAAGAAGGCCAATTTTTTATTTTGCCAAATAGTGACAGAGCACTACAGCCTACTGGCACCACCATTTCATTCAAGGGACTTCTAATACAACTATGTTGTAAGAAATAATGTTGATTTGTGCTCCAGAGCCTGAGTGCCAAATGGTCATCTGGGCCAGCTTGTTCACTGGAGGTGATGGGGAGCTCACTACTTAGCAAAATAACATTTTGCTTTTTCTCAGTTGAACTGAAACTGACCTTCATGTATTCTAATTCTGCAACCCAGAATACGTGTAAAATCCCCACCTCTGGAAAACACCCAAGGAGGGTTCTAATTAACACCAGTGTGGTAGGGGTGGAGGAGGGGTGGGGATGGAAGGTGTTATTTCAGGGACCTGTCAAAGTCATTTTAGTTTGCTCTAACTTGCATCAGCATGCCAGGAAGCTGTTTAATAATAATAGCTACTATTTATTGAATGCTTTTCTAGGTGCCAGGCATGATGCTAAGCATGGAAGGGAATTATTTAATTCTCACTAGGACCCTCTGCAAAAATGGAGGCTTTGAGAGGTGGAAAGACTTGCCCAAGGTCGCTCAGGAGAAAGTGCTGAAGGAGCTCAGGGTCTGACTCTGGTCCAGGCCCTGTAGAGATGGTTCTTGGATGGAATTAGTGTGGAGCGGGTCCCACATCTCCTCAGAATCGGCGAAAGTGGGCAGTAGTGGTAGCCCACTGTTTGTTTTGTTTTTTATCCTCACCCGAGGACATGCTTCCATTTTTTGTTCAGATAGAGTAGGGAGGGAGAGAGAGAGAGAAACATCGATGTGAAAGGGACACATTGAGTGGCTGCCACCCACACGACCCAACCAGGGCCGGGGACAAACTGCAACCGAGGTACATGCCCTTAGTGGGAACCGAACCCGGGTCTCTCTGGACCGCAGGCCGACACTCTACCACTGAGCCAGGGCAATTTTATTTATTTATTTTTTTATTTATTTCTTGGTGGTACATGCCCCTAGCGGGAACCAAACCTGGAAGTCTCTGGTCCGCAGGCCGACGCTCAACCGCTGAGCCAAACTGACCTGGGCCCAGCCCACCGTTTGGGCAGGGCCCCTGGCTTCAAGGCAGGAGCTGCGGTGGCAGACCTCTATGCCGTCCTCTGTTACCCGGATTTGATGTTCAGCCCCAAGAGGCTGGAATTGGGGTGAGGGTGTGTGGGTCCCGGTGGGTGGCTGGCTCGGGGTGGGCAGGGAAGGAGGACCGCTCAGTAATAGCCAGGTGTTGGCTGGTGGCGGCACTCCTCACCTGGCCAGAGTGGCTGTCACCCAGAGGCGTCCCCTCCGTGACACTGGAGGACAAGACGCCCACGCCCAAGGTGGTCTCCTGCGGCACAGCCAGAAGCCACCGGGAGGGGACTGTCGGAGGTGGGGACTGACTTCCAGCCCAGGGAGGGGAGAGGAGACGGTGCCCCATTGCAGGGAAGTTTTTCTGCCGCCTGGTTCTCCTTTCTATTTCAGTTCACCCTCACATTTGGGGTGTCTTAAAGGATTCTGCCCTCTCTCTGGGCAGCAACATCACCCAGGTGGCCTCATCTTCCCTTGCCCGGGGATGTCTCAGCTGCCCTAACGCGAAACTTGGATTCTCCCATCTCCTAGGCGTCACCCGTATCATAAAAAACAAAAACAAATCCTGCCCACCCTGCCTCATTTAATCCATAATGATACAATTTAAATCTCCCTCCCATGTTCCCTTTCTACACCCCACTAGAATGATTTGGTTCAGGGACTTCTAACGTCTCCTTGGCCCACCTCCAAGTGGCCTTTCAACCCCTGGTTTTGCCCACCTCACCCTTCGAGCCCCGCCCCTGCACATGCAGACCCGCAGTGCCAGGTCCCAGGTGTGCAGGGTGACTCCCAGTGTCCTGCACGCGCCTGGCTCATGTGCTTCCGAGCACGCGCTTTCTGGCTCCTTGAATTGGCTGTGTCCTTCTTACCCCTCAGGATGAAACCTGGGCCAGACCTCTTCCAGGCAGCCCCTCTCCTTTTAAACATTTCTGCCCTACAGAGACAGCAGTGGTGTAGAATTCTGTCTCCCCCACCGAACCCTACGGTCTTGGTGCTCTGGGGTCTCAGTGGGGGCCCCCGTTAGGATCCGCGGCCCCAGCGATTTCTGGCACGGTGCTCAGACAGGGCTGGTCCCATCAATGAGGGAGGGAGAGGCAGAACTGTGGGCGTCGTTTGGATTGGGAATAATAATAATGATAATGGCCAGCACTTATGTTTTCTGACTTTGTGCTAGGCAGTGTTCCAAACCCTTTGCCTTGGGACTGTTCCTTTTAACCCTTACAACCGCCCTAAAGCAAATACCATGATCATCAGCCCCATTCCACAGATAAAGAAACTGAGGTTGAAAGAGTTGTCCAAGGTCCTCTAGCTGGTAGTCAGATTTCATCACCGCTGTTTTATCTAATCTCTGTGGGCTGGCCTGGGTCAAGGGCTGACTCTGTTGGGTATGTTTTCTCTAAAACAAGTTCTGGTTAGGAAAGACCAAGCTGGTCTGATTGCCGAACAATTGCAACAACCACTGACATCTGTGCACGTTTGAAGTGTTTGCCACCTGCGGCCCCACCACCGCGAAGCAGGCAGGGAGAACCTGACCCTCCAGCAGCTTAGGGTCTTACCCAGGACAGACACACCCAGCCTGCGGGGAGGCGGAAGCTGCACCCCAGCCTGCTTGGGGTCAGTCCGCATTGTCAGGGCTACAGTGTTAGGAGAGCAGCCAGTGACTGCTGAGTGTTGTGCAGGTGGGGTTGGGGTCTGACAAGAAAGAGGACATGAGACGCTGTCGTGCATTTTGCAGTCACATAGACTGGGGCTGGAGTACTGTCGTCTCTGGGGCAAGTCACTTCACCTCTCTGAGACTCAATTTCTGAAGCATAAAATGGGCATGACACCTGCCTTGTGGGGCCAAGACGGGGGGTAGTGAGAAAACACATCTGGAGAGCTGGCCACATGCGAATTAGGTGGAACTACGTGGGGTTGCTAATATCGGGCCATTTTGACCTACACAGATGGCAACGCCACCATGTTCAACGTACCAGATGCTCAAGTCAAGGCAGTGCGGCCAGGAATCTCCAGCCTGCTCTCCCCCTTGCAGGCGGCAGGAGCTGGCAGTACGCTCCCTGCTGCTCAGTAAGTGAGCCGAGAAGATAGTCAATTAAGCCGATTGGGGGGGGG